AAGGGGATGTTGGAGACCGTGGCCTGGTTCAGGGCCCGCTGCGTGGCCTTGGCCCAGCCCCGAGTTCTCCGGGCTTCCTGGGCTCACAGAGACGATGGGGAGGGGGGAGGATGGGGCGGCGCGTGGCCCCCATGAGACAGCGCAGGGGAGCCCTGTGCCGGTCAGGGTGTAGTTAGGGTGCATGTGCTCAGGGGCATCCCTGCCCGATCCCACACCCATGTCGGCAGGTGGGCGTGCACAGGGGACCGTGTGTGCGCGTGTGTGCACTCACCCTCCACGCCCAGCAGGCATTGGGACCTCTGAGCGGAGGGGCTTGTGTGTCCTCCACACTCTACACAAAGGGAAAGAGTGCAGCCCGCCCCCCCCCAGGTGGGACTGCTGATCCTGGCCACCAGGGGGCTGCTCAGGGGGAGACAGGGACCGGCACACCCTCCCGCCTAAGTCCCACCTCTGGTGACTCAGACCCAATGGCGGCCTCACACTGCAGAGCCCGCAGTGCCCCCTGCCCCCACCCAGAGCTCCAGGCCTGGGGCCCGGAGCCCCCCCCCCAGGCAGTGCTGGCTGAGAGAAGAGAGATCCTGTACCCCCGGACCCTGGGAGGGCAGAGCAGAGTGGCCGGCCACGTGCCGACTCCCCCAGGCCTTTCTGTGACTGGCCAGCTCTGCCCAGACCTGGCCCAAATTTCAGGAGAGTCCAGGGGCACTGAGTGGGAAGCCCCAGAATGATGGGTCCTGTCCTTGACCCTCCCACCCCCATTGAGCAAGGCCCTCTCTCGGAACAGCCCTCCCCAGGACAGAGAGGCAGGAGGGCCCCCTGACACCGTGTGCTTCACTGTCCTGAGGAGGGCGTCAGAAATGGCCCTGCTGGGCTCCCTGCTGGGCGTGTGAGCGGGCAAGGAGGGGCAGGGCACACCCCTGGGAAGCTGGTTTGGCAGCTCCGCCTTGCTGGCAGAAGCTGGTTTCACCCGGGCTGATGGCTGGGCACCAGACAGCCCTTTCATCTGAGCCTGCCCCACACTCCCCTGGAACCCGGCAGCTTCCGCCTGGTCAGCCAGGGCTGGACACAGCTCTCTGGGCACGGCCGGCCAGCTGCAGTCCCCCAGGTCAAGGGGCCCAGGGAGGGCTGGTGGACCTCGCCGGCTGGGTCCAGCGCCACCCGCAGCCCGAGTCCCTAGCTTCCGCACAGACGCTCTTCTGCTGAGTACAGCGAGCCCCGCCCAGTTCTGGGCGCAGCAAGGGGCCTCGTGTGGAGAGTTCAGGGCGATGACAGAGACTGACAGTCCCAAACAGTTTGGGGCAATGACAAACTGACAGGGCCACAGGGTGCCAGAGTCACTGGAGATGCCCAGAGCAAGGCTGGTGGGGTGGGGGGCCCCCGGGGGATCAGCACCGCTCTGCTGGGGCCTTGGAGAAACGCAGGCCAGGCGTGGAGAGGAGGGGTGAGGAAAGGCCTCCCGGACTGGCGACCCGGTCGAGCGGAGGCAGGAGGGCCAGGATGGCCGATATCAGGGGCTGCGTGAGCAGTGGGCTGGGAGGGGCCCATCCAGGGCGTTCGTCCTGTCCCTAGCAGAGAGACACGGCCGGCTCCCCCGCAGACCAGGGCTAATGAAAGCTCTGTTGGAGGAAGGTCAGGGAGCCGGCTTCACCGGGCAGGCGCCAGGCCCGCAGACTGGGTGGGGCAGGTGGGAGGCACTGCAGGTAGCCGTCCAGTGGAGAGCCGAGGGGAGCCGCCAGGCCGGGGCTGGGCCCGGGAGGGGAAGGGAGGACCAAAGGAGCCTCCCCTGCCTGCCCGTGTAGTCCTCCATCACAGTCCCGTCCGACGACCCCGGGCTCCGTCAGCAGGGTCTCTGCACACCGGATGGGCTGCGTTCAGCCCCTTGAGACCCTTGACCTGATGTCATCCCCGCTTTACTCTGGTCTGGTCCGGGCCAGGACTATCCCCTTACCTACAAAACGAGGGCTTGGCCTCAGAAGGCTCCTGGCTTAGAAGGAGCAGGAAGAGAAGAAGGTGCTGGGCAGGGCAGCTCTCAAATGGGGGTGCAGCCCACACACCCAAGAAGGGAGGGGACGGGGCAGCAAGCTGGGCAGGTCACCAGGGCCAGGTCATTAGCGGAGGGTCCCAGCCAGGGGAGGCCCCTGTCTGGCCCACCTGGGAAGACAGGGCCAAGGGTCCGCTCCACTGGTCTCCCAGGTGGAGATACACCCCAGGCCCCCCTTGCGGTCCAGCCCAGACTGCTCCGTGATGCAGGGGTCAGCTTCTCCCCTCTGGAATGTTCTGGTCTGTGGCTCCTCCCACCTGAGGCTGAAGTTTCCCAGGAAAGTCTGAGACAACCAGACAAGGGGTGTGTGAGTGTCTTTTGTACTCGAAGTGGGGACGCTGCCAGTAGGTCACTATTGGCTGGGGGGGTGGGGGTGTCTGTCGGCCTTACAGAGCGGAGCTCTCCTGCCTGCCAAGCACACGCTGGCCTTCTGGCTGCAGCGCTCAGGGCCTGGGGCCAGGGTTGGGAAGGGAGGGGTCTTCCTCATCAGGGACCTGTCCTCCCCAAAGCCTGGCCTCCCTGCGTGTCCTCTGGGTGGGTCACCAGCCTGTGGTTTTCCGAAATTAGTGAGGCCTCATCAGTGGCCCCGGTGGGGAAGACCACCAGTGTAGACCCCTTTCCAGGGCTGTCCTGGCTTCGGGGTTCGTCCCCCTCCTGTACCAACCTGGCAGCCCCTCTGGGAGGGGCCCCGGCTGCAAACCTGTCAGCCAGGTCCCGGAGGCACCTGAGTGTCAGCGGAACCCAGAGGTGCCTCTGAACAGACGCTGCGCGTGCGCTGAGTGCCCCGTGACCGTGCGTTCACGGGTTCTCTGGGTGCAGTTACTACAGCAGCTTGACCGAGCGAGGCACTGAGGCCCATCGGGTCCAAGTAACTGGCCCAAGGCTGCTCCCTGGGCAAGGGGCTTAGCCGGAGCCAACCCTGCATGGTCGGGCCCCAGAGCCATGTTCCTGACCCCAGGGCTCCCTCTGCGGTGGGTGTCTCAGCCCAGGGAACTTGAGGGGTGTGCTTAGAGTCCCTCTGTGCCCCCACCACCTCAGCCTGATAGAAAAGGGGAAACATTGCTGACTTCAGCCAGGACACAGGCCATCTGTGCAGGGAGGACCCGCAGACAGCACAGCGGCAGGGAGACCAGGGCTGGGCTGGGGGTCCTGGGACAGGGAAGGCTGCTGGCATGTGGCTGGTGGGGGGCTGGGAAGTGCGGGCCACAGGGCTGTCCCTACCAGCCCTGCCACACCTACCCCCCACCCCCGCGGGCCGCGCCCTGTGGGCGGGGTGGCCCTGCTCCTTCCCCAGCCGGCAGAGCCAGGCCCCAGAGCCTCCGGGAGCTTATTCAGCACAATCGCCTTGGCGCTGGGCTGGGGCCAGGACGAGGCTCTGGGAGCCAGGAGCCAGGTCAGGTGGCAGAGATGACGACAGGCGGTGTCATTTACCGAGAACAAGGGCGCTCCTGTTGCATTTCCATTTAAGGCCTCGCCGGCTGGCCTGGTAGGGAGTCCCTTGCTTTCCCACCAGAGTGCCATCATCACCCATCATCACCTCCCTCGCCCGGGAGAATGAAGGCCAGGGGGCGGGGCCTAATTGCATATTTTGTGCGTTATCTGCAAGGTGTGCGTTCCCGGTCCCAAGGCTCCCAGAACTGCCCCCTCTCCGCCCCTCTGCCTGTCCCTGCCCCTCCACCCCTCCCTGCACCCACACGCCCGCTCCCTCGGGGGAGGTCGGTTAGACCCAGCCCAGGGAAGGAGGCTGCCTGCCGGTGCCCAGCTGGGTGTGTGGGCGGGTGGCGTCCAGGAGTGCGCCACGGCCCAGGCTGGCATCTGGGGCTGCTGAGTCCAGTGGTCTGAGAAGGAGCTCAGCCCACGGTGGGACCTGGCTCTGAGGCTCCTCCTCTGAGAGCGTGTGTGATCCGGTGGGGAAGGGGGTCACCCCGTGGCTGACTTCCCCTGCACACTCACACACGCTCACTCGCACTTGCATGCACATGCACTCACACACTCACTGGAGGGTGGGGCAGGCAGGCTCCAGGCTGCGGCCCAGGTGAGTCCCCAGGCGGCACCTGTGTGGAGCTGCCCCATCAGGCTCCATGTTGATCCTCTCGTCTCCGAACAAGTCGGCACAGGCAGAGCCCCGACTGCGCTCTGGGAAAGTCCTCTGTGGGCGGCTCTCTTCCCAGCTCAGTCTGGGGCTTGGCAGGCTCTGCCCAGGGGCCAGGCTCCCTGGTGGGCTCCCCTAGCCCCGGGGGCCTCACTGTTCTGTATTTTCCTCTTGGGTCCAGTTTCTGCCCAGCCTCCCGCCGTGAGACTATGAAGCCCAGGGGCCCCCGGCACCCCGTGCTGCTGCCTGCACTCCATGTCCCCCCAGAACAGATGGCCCCAGAGCAGGCGGCTATTCCCCCTTCAGCCTTTGATGGGGACCCCTAAAGGGCCTGCTCTGCTCTTGCCCTGCAGAGGGGAGTTTGGCAGAGAGACAACAGTGGGAAACCGTGGTGGCCACAGTGACAGACAATTCCCCACTCCACGTCCAGTGGCCAAGGAAGGCCTGTGCCAGAGCCGCTGGCATCTGGGGCTGGGGCGGGACAGCAGAGAGAGGGCTTGGGGACACAGGCTCAGGTCCCACGGTTGCCCTTCCCTCTGTGAGCCACTGTCCGGGCGGGGGGTCCTCTCCTCTCTGGGCCTCAGGCTGCCCTCCCGCGTGGGGCCACATGCCCCCCACAGAGAGAAGCCCATTTGCAGGGCCACCAGCGCCGTGGCCTCAGATCGTCCAGTTTATACTGGTCCAGTCGGTCCTTTGAGACGTTGGCTTCTGTCCGCTGAAGTGGCTTCAGAATGCATAGGGGGTCACAGCCTGCAGTTCGAAAAGTGACACCCCAGGAGGTTCCTTGCCCCCCAAGCCTTCTGGGGTCCCACAAGCATCACTGTGGAGCCCAGGGGCCTCCGCTGAGCCTTTGTCCCTCCCTCTGGCCAGATCTACAATGGGACCCTCAAGCGGGAAGCGGACAACCGGCGCTTCAGCTCCTACAGCCAGATGGAGAACTGGGGCCGCCACCACCCGCGGAGCAGCTGCCACGCGGGCAGCGACATCTGCTTCATGCAGAAGATCAAGGCCAGCCGCAGCGAGCCCGACCTCTGCTGCGACCCGAGGGGCACCCTGCGCAAGGGCACGCTGGGTGGCAAGGGCCACAAGACCGCCCAGAGCCGCTACAGCTTCTACAGCACCTGCAGCGGGCAGAAGGCCACCAAGAAGTGCCCGGGGCGCCCGCCCTCCTGCATCTCCAAGCAGGAACCGGTGTGCATCCCGCCCACCTCCTGCAACAAGGACATGTCCTTCAGCCACTCCAGGGCCAGCTCCAAGTGAGTGCTGCCGGTGGGGGCGGGGCCTGGGTTGGGGGCAGGGCCGTGTGGGCGGGGCCTCGGCGGAGGGTGCAGGGGTCGGACACCTCTGCCTGGTACACTGCAGGGAGCTCCCCCGATGGGAAAGACCCAGCCTCTGTCCCCAGGGAGTTCCGGGTTCCTCCCCGGGGAGTTCCAAGCTCGCAGGGGCCGCACACAGAACACAAACACTAACACAAATGTGCTGAGCGCGTGGGCTCTGAAGGAGTCACAGGGAGGCTACTCCAGCAGGTGAGCCAGGCCAGAGGTTCAAGGGGTGTGCTCCTGCACCAGCAGGAGCTGAAATCCTGGGGACTTGGAGAAAATGCTCGTTCTCGGGCCCTGCCCAGACCTGCTGGCTCAGCCCTGGGAGACAGGCTGGCACACACCCTGCAGGGACGTGACTGGTCCGCAGTTTGACGCCTCTGATCTCGGGCATCTTGATCCGTTTCTGAGAGCGGGTGGGGGTGCCGGGGTGGGGGAGGGGCGCCGTGAGGGCTGGTCTCACGGGAGCAGACCCCGTGAGGGCCTGGGGAGTCGGGCACAGCAGAGCCTGGGAATGAGGTTAAAAATAGGAAATTGCTGGGTCTGCGGCTCAAAAAAAGGTGGCCGTCAGCCACTCCATACAGTTCAACCGAACAACCACCCTTGGGTAGCAGTCCAGTCATTCGCCCTGACCCTGCAGCACAGAGGGGACACGGATAGGGTGACACGGTCACCTGGGCTTACAACGGCTCAGTGGGGCCACGGGCATCAGGTGGTAGGATGGGGAGCAGAGAGCAGCTGCAGGGTCTCTCGTGCGGTCTCTGTGGGAGTGGTCGGGGTGGTCTCTGTGGGAGTGGTCGGGGTCAGAAGGGGGCAGCAGCTCTGAGGGTGGGAAGGAGGAGTAGATGGAGGGGGTGGTTTGTGTAGGAAGAATTAGCTAGACTTGGGAGGGGAAGGAAGGAGAGATGGATGGACGGATGGATGGATGGATGGATGATGATGGACAGACGGATAGAGAGAAGATGGATGATGAAAGGAAGACAGATGGACAGATGCATGGAAGATGGATGATGGATGAGTGATGGATGGAGGGACAGAAAGATGGAAGACAGATGGGTGGGTGCATGGGCAGGCTCACAGCCATTCCCTTCCGTGTCTCAGGACCAGCCACAGGTGAGCTCAATGGCAGAACAGGTGGGAGCTTGCCTCAAAAGCAGGCAGAGGTCCCTTGCCTGCTTGACCGTTGACCCTCAGCTAGGGCCCCAGCCCAGCAAGTGCTCGCTACGGGGTGTGCCCCTCCCTCCCCCAGGGGGCAGTCCCAGTGCTGTCCCCAGGAGGGCCTGGCTGCCTTGTCCTGGCTCTCAGGAGAGCAGAGGAGGCGGTGACAGCTTGGGTGTGCAAGGGGGGAGTCCCTGCACCAGGGCCCCTGTGACCCACGCCCATCGCCATCCGTCGCAGGATCTGCAGCGAGGACATCGAGTGCAGCGGGCTGACCATCCCCAAGGCCGTGCAGTACCTGAGCTCCCAGGACGAGAAGTACCAGACCATTGGGGCCTATTTCATCCAGCACACCTGCTTCCAGGATGAGTCGGCCAAGCAGCAGGTACCTGGTGGCCTGGGCGGGGCCTGGGGCAGCAGCCCAGCTCTGCACTCACAGATGAGTGGGGGCCCTTGCCGTGGGCTTCTGCTCACCCCTGCCCAGCTGCCCAGGGCAAGCAGTGCACTCGGCACCGCCCCCGGTCAGAGCCGGGCAGCTGCACCTTCTGTGCAGGGCAGAGCCCTCCGGCCGAACAGACACCTTCCTCCGGTGTCTCCCCTGTCAGTCACTGTCACTTCAGTGGCAGCTTCGGGTCCAACAGGACCCCCCGGCAAACAGGACGACTTCCCACACCTCAACCCGTCACGCACTCCCATTCTGTCTGTCTGTCTGTGCACGCCTCCCCAAGTCACCCATGGTGGGGTTCGGGGCCTGTCTGTGCCTCCCAAGCTTGGCTGATGGGGAGACGCCCACGGGCTCTGCACTCAGCCCGGGGAGGCCGTGGCATGTGCTTCCCGGAGAGTCCAGGACGCATCTGCCCAGATGCTCCCAGAGAAGAGGAAGCTCCTGTGGGAGGGAGGGTCTCCGTGAGGTCTGTCCGGCTTCAAGGGCTCTAAGTGCAACCACGCCCACTTCCCCTCCGGTCCCCACCCCGGCCTCCAGAGGAGGGAAGTGGGGTTTCGGGGTCGAGTCCCCATCCTGGCTCCTGGCCCCGGGCCTTTCCCGCTCCGTCACACTGCTTGCTCCTTTGGGCTGGCGTGGGTGTTTCGGAGGGCACGGTCCCTGACCGGCGCCTCGCTGCCCCTGTCCCCCAGGTCTATCAGCTGGGCGGCATCAGCAAGCTGGTGGACCTCCTGCGCAGCCCCAACCAGAACGTGCAGCAGGCGGCAGCCGGTGCCCTGCGCAACCTGGTGTTCCGGAGCAGCACCAACAAGCTGGAGACCCGGAGGCAGGGGGGCATCCGGGAGGCCGTCAGCCTCCTGCGGAGGACGGGGAGCACCGAGATCCAGAAGCAGCTGACCGGTAGGGAGCCCGGCCCCGGGGCGAGGCTGCCGTGAGGGCGGGCTGAGCCCAGGCTCACATCCTGGGTACCCACTGCACCAGCCCGTGGGGGGTGGTCCAGGTGGGTTGGCCCAGGCCCTCTGCAAAGTCACAGGGGTCAAGGTCTTTTGGAGGATAGTGGGCCAGGGGTGGAAGGCTGGTGTCCAGCTGCAATCCGTCCTGAGCAGACCTTGGGGCTTGTAGGGGAAGGGGACAGGGACCCACAGGTCTTCCACATCCTCCCTGTGTCCAAAACCACGCTGACCCTGAGGGTGGGACCCAGAAACAGCCACTTGGCAGCCCTGGACCGGACAGGGAGCCACCTGAGACCCGGGGCAGAGCACCTGTGACCCTCAGGTCGGGGGCATTAGGAGGTTCTGAATGTAACGGTCCCTCCTGAAACCTGCTGGCCAGTGCTCCTGACCGCCTTCCGTGGGCACCACTCTGACCCACACAGAAAGCTCTAGAAGGCCCCATGGAGCAGTGGGACAGGAGAGGGGGGTGGCCAGGTCGAGCGGGCAGGTGATGGGCACCCCAGAGCCCGCCTGAGTCTGGCCGATGGCCCCGGTCCCACCCACAGGGCTGCTCTGGAACCTGTCTTCCACGGACGAGCTGAAGGAGGAGCTCATCTCCGACGCCCTGCCCGTCCTGGCCGACCGCGTCATCATCCCCTTCTCCGGCTGGTGTGACGGCAACAGCAACGTGTCCCGGGAAGTGGTGGACCCTGAGGTCTTCTTCAACGCCACCGGCTGCCTGAGGTGAGGGAGGAGGGCGGGCCTCGGGGCCCCTGTGTCCAGCTTCCTGCCGTCCCCCCAGCAGCTCCCTCTCAACCGGGACTGGGCAGGGCTCGGTGCAGCCCACCCGGCCCTCCGAGGGTGACTCCGACACGGCTCCCCACTTCCCACCACGGCTCCCCACTTCCCACCACGCCTTTGAGGGGCCCAGAAGCCTCAGGCGCGCATCCCAGAGGGGGAAGGCCCTCACCGGACCACCCAGACTGGCACCGTTCTCCCTCCCCCATCCACAAAACCCGGCCTTTCTCCTGCTGGGAGCGTCCGGTCCTGAGGAGTGTTCTTTACACAGAAGACTCTGGTTGCTGAGTCACCTCCAGGCCACGGGGCCGAAACCTTGTGCACATCCATTGGCATGAAGCTGGCACTTCTTCACCTGAAGTGCCCTGAGTTCCTCCCCAAGTCGGGGCGCAGGGCCCTGGGGCTGGAGCGCAGGGCCCTGGGTGCGCTCCTCTTGGGACAGGTTTACAAGCTGGGAGTGAGTGCCGGTCTTGGGTGGAACAAGGGCTTTGGGCTCACACCTGCCCGAAGGGGAGCCCCTTGCTGGATGGGGTGTGGTGGGCAGGGTCCCTGTGTCTCAGGTTGTATCCCTCCCCCGACTCAGCCTCCATAGCAGCCTCCAGGAGCAGGGCTGGGTGAGGAAGAGGCCGGGGGCTAGGGTGTCAAGGGGCTGCCCCAGGCCCGTGGGCCCAGGGTGTCTGGGAATGAGGCACTGCAGGGGGTGGGGCACAGCTGCTGGCGAGGCAGGGGGCCCTCTAGCACCGATCCCAGGCTGCCCCCACGCCCCACAGAGAGAGACAGGGCGGGCAGGGGCCCCAGCCCTGTCCCACAGGATGCTGGGGTCACACCAGTGCCCCTGACACTTGTGGGAGCTGGGCTGGTGGACCGAGTGGGCAGATAAAAGGATGGAGAGAGCCAGGCTCCAGCTGGACGCTCCCCAGCCTCGTCCGGGGCTGCCAGGGCTGGCCGCCGCCTTCTCCCTCCCTCCTCCCTCGGCCCTGTGTCCCCCCCAGTCCCATCTGCTGCCGCTCCTCCCACACCTGCACGTCCACCGGGCCCGCTGCCCCCGCTCCCCCTGCGTGTCGCCCACTTCTGTCCCTTCCGTCCCTCAGGAACCTGAGCTCCGCCGACCCCGGCCGCCAGACCATGCGGAACTACTCAGGGCTCATTGACTCCCTCTTGACCTACGTGCAGAACTGCGTGGCGGCCAGCCGCTGTGACGACAAGGTGAGAGCGTGTCCCCGAGGTGGCACCTCCACTGGGGGACAGAACCTGTGCCCTGGCTGCTCAGCTGGGCCGCAGCGGGCAGCTGGCCTCCGTGCTCTGGGCGGCACAGCCCGCACAGCCAGGCCCCCTGGATCCCGGAAGCAGAGCCCAGCAGGGCCACACGCCCTGGGGGGGATGGCGGCCCTCTGGGGACAGTGGCGTGCAGTTAGCATTAGGTCTCCTGTCCGTGAGGACGGGCCAGCACTGTGATGTTGGGGGCCGAAGACCAGCCCAAAAAGAGGGACCTTCGGGGAGATGGGGCTTGGTGGCTTTAAACCCACACGGCCAGGGCTGCTCCTGAAGGCACCCTCCCAGGACCCCGCCTGCCTGCCTTGTGTGCCATCCTGCTGGGGCCCGGGCCCCCGATAGGCACTTTCCGAGCGCATCCTCCCCAGGGCCCAGCAGCAGTGGCTTCAGCCTCATTTACAGCCCGGGTAGGGGTTTGGGGGGAGAGGCGGGGAACCTGGGGCTCTGAACAGTGAGGCTGTTCCTCAGCTCACACAGGCAGGCAGGAGGGGACCAGGGGCAAAGCCAGCTGCCTGGGGACCTGGGGGCAGCGGCGGGAGGGGTGGGCATGAGCCGGGAGCCCGGGCAGCCGCGTGGCAGCTCAGGCGTGTGCTCCGGCCCGCAGTCCGTGGAGAACTGCATGTGTGTGCTGCACAACCTGTCCTACCGCCTGGACGCCGAGGTGCCCACCCGCTACCGGCAGCTGGAGTACAGCCACCGCAACACACACACGGACAAGTCCTCCACCGGCTGCTTCAGCAACAGGAGTGACAAGATGATGGTGAGCGGGCCCCGTCCCTGCCCCCCACCCCCTTCCCCTCTGCCGCTGGCCTCCCATAGCACGATGGTGGGGGGGCTTCCCTGCCAACGGGGGTCTGTGCATTGGGACAGAAGGAGCTCAGACCACCCCCGGTCACAAGCTCCAGACCCCTTCAGCCTCAGAGTCTGCCCCTTGTCTCCTGTACCCCTGAGGTTCGGGGTAACCAGGACTCTAACTCCTGTCCAGATGGGTTCCCCAGAGTCTCCCTGGGTGGCCCTGGGGGACAGGCTTCCTCCATGGGGCACAATGGTGGCGTCCAGGCCGGGGCCACCTGCCCCCGTGGGCCCAGGGAGGGTCAGGCTCAAACTCTGGGGGCAGAAAAGCCTCAAGGAGCAGGACCCGACAGCGGACTTACCCGGGAGGCCAGCCACACTGCCCAGGGGACTGAGAGGCTCTCTGTCCTTGGCCCCAGCCCTGACAACCACAGCCGGTCCCTCCCTTCTTCTCTCAGCGGCAGCGTGAGGGAGGGGCCGTGGGCAGGTGCCTCCTTGATTCCCTAGGCCTCTGAGGTGTGGGGGGCAGCGTTCGTGGGTTCGTAGCTTCGGTCCCCTGAGAGGCTGCCTGCTAACCGGCCCGCTGTCCTCAGAACAACAACTATGACTGCCCCCTCCCCGAGGAAGAGACCAACCCCAAGGGGAGCGGCTGGCTGTACCACTCGGACGCCATCCGCACCTACCTGAACCTCATGGGCAAGAGCAAGAAGGATGCCACACTGGAGGCCTGCGCGGGGGCCCTGCAGAACCTGACAGCCAGCAAGGGGCTGGTGAGGGCCCCTCCTGCCCGTGGCGCCCCCACCTCTGCCCCTGCCTTGGGTCCCCCGTTCAGGGCAGGCTGCCCCTGCCAATCCCAGCCCCTCCTGTGTCATGTCAGACACATGGGGCCTGGGAGCCTCGCTCTGCAAACCAGAATGCAGGGTCTGCCTGTGCCCAGCTCGGGGAGAGGACGAGGGACCAGAGGTGGCCCTCCGGGGAGAGGGGAGGTGCCTGGGCGCCTGGTGTCCCACAGTGCCTGGTGAGCACACGGTCATCCATCTGTGGCTGCGTGGCCAGTGTGCAGGGGGGAGCGCCGGGTCTCTCCGCGGGGTCACCTGCCCCCCTTCTCCTCCACGGGGCCCGGGGAGCCGCCGGCTGGGTCCTCATGCAGCCGTTCCGTGCAGATGTCCAGCGGCATGAGCCAGCTGATCGGGCTGAAGGAGAAGGGGCTGCCGCAGATCGCCCGCCTGCTGCAGTCGGGCAACTCCGACGTGGTGCGCTCCGGGGCCTCCCTGCTGAGCAACATGTCTCGTCACCAGCCGCTGCACAGCCTGATGGGTGAGGCCCCGCCACCCCTCCCCGGGTAGCACTGGCAGACCCCCTTTCCTGAGGCCGCCAAGGGGTCTCCCTCCAACCGCTCTTTGGTGTGCGCCCCCACGGGGAAGCCCGATGACAGGAAAGGGCCGGTCGTCCGGGGGGACGGCCTGCAGGTGGGCGCAGTCCCACTTGGGTCCTGAGCCCCCGGGGGTGCTGGAAGGGAGCCTCAGGGCCTGCTCCCCGCAGCCGCCTGACCCGGGCCCGCCCCGCCTGCCTTCCCAGGGAACCAGGTGCTCCCGGAAGTGGCCCGGCTCCTCGCCAGCCATTCCGGCAACACCAGCAACTCGGAGGACATCCTGACCTCGGCCTGCTACACCGTCCGGAACCTGATGGCCTCGCAGCCGCAGATGGCCAAGCGGTTCTTCTCCAGCAGCGTGATCAACAACGTCGTCAACCTGTGTCGCAGCAGGTGGGCAGGCAGCCGCGCCCCCCCGCCCCGCACGCAGCCCCTCCCCCTGCAAAGCACAGGTCCCCAAGTGGGGCGGGGGCAGCTGTAGCACAGCCCAGAGCACCTTGGATTTGTGGGTCCGGCAGCAGCCAGGCCTCAGGGTAGCGCCCGTCTTGGCCAGGGGTCCCCAGGGGCCTCTGAGTCCTCAGAGGGCCCGCAGGAGCCTGGAGCGGCAGACCCAGCCCTGTGGGCACTTCATCCTGCTCCAGGGGACTCTCTCCTCCAAGGACATGGGCGTGGGGTTCTGCCTGCCCTGCAGAGTGGCCGGCTGGAGGCGGGATGCGGTTCCTCTCTTGGGCTCCCCCGGGGCCCCCATGTCTCCCAGGCCTGGCAGTGGGGGGTGGGAGGGAGGAGGGCCTGTCTGCATGTGTCCCGGACCGTCACCCACACGTGAACCTCCCTCCCACTCAGCACCTCGTCCAAGGCCGCAGAAGCCGCCCGGCTCCTCCTGTCCGACATGTGGTCCATCAAGGACATTCAAAACATCCTCAGACAGGTGAGGCCCCCAGGCCCCCCACTGGCCAGGTGCACCCCACCATCCCTCTGAGAGCCAAGTCCCCTGGACTGAGGCGAGCGGGAAAGGGGGCGGGGGCGAGCGAGCCTTCAGGGAACGCATGACTTCGGGGACCCAAACGGTCTCTGTCTCTCCCCTCGCAGCAAGGGTTCGATCGGAACATGCTGGGGACCTTAGGCGGGGCCAACAGCCTCCGGAACTTCACCTCCCGCTTCTAAGAGAGGGCTGCCTGAACAGGATCAGCTTGCAGGTGAGACTTGGCACCCCAGGGTGGAGGGCGGGGGGGGGTGCTTCCAGGCCCAGTAGCCTCGGCCAGTCTCGAACCCAGGGGCCAGCCCTGAGCTCCCCAGGGACCCAGATGCAGCCCTCCGTCTGGCTGACCAAGGGGACTTGGCCAGGACACCATGGCTGTCCCAGGCCGGACGTCAGGGGCACGTGATGGCAGGTCTAGGCCGAGCTGTGGGTTAGCAGGGAGCTGGTGCAGGTCCCCACCTGGGGGTGCCATCCGCCGGGTCTGTGGAGTGAGGGCCTGCAGACGGGACATGTCTCTCTAGGTTGGAACAGCCGCCGCTCAGGCCCCTGCCTTCTGTAGTCCACTCCCAGTCTCTGCGCGTCCCCAGGGTCTGTGGCAGCGGCTGGCAGCCCCAGCTTGCCTGAGGACCACCCAGGAGCTTGCCCAAACACACACCCCGGCCCGGCCCCAGCCCCCGCGGCTCTGGAGTGGAGTGTGCGTTTGCAGACGAGCAGGCCATGTGTTTCTGGCATGGGGAGGCCGGGGGCCACACGCAGACACTCCCACAGGCCACCAGGGGCGGCCCCAGTGAGGAACCTCTGCAGGGAGCCGGGGCTGAGGACAGGGGGCTCCAGAGCACAGCCCCCTCGAGCTGCCGAGGGCCCCCGTGGGGAGATGCTGCGGCAGGGGAGCCGCGCCTGAGGGTGGAGAAGGAGAGGAGACTAAATCCAGATTTCACGCAGGAGGGGCCGCGTGCCCGGCTGTGCTGGCCCCATGCGTGCAGGCAGGAGGGGCACCATGAGGTGGTGGGAGGGGCCCCTCGGTTCCCCCAGGGCGCTGGCGAGGGGGCCGGTCACTACCCGAACTCAGGGGAGGCCCCTTCTTTTGCAGACGCCTCACGACCCCAAGGAGGGGCCTCAGGCCTGGCCGGAGGGTGGCTCTGGCCACCTGGGCAGTATTTGGACACGTTCAAAACAACCGGAACAAACCTGGAAGCTGCCGAAGATGAAACTATTTTTAGATTCTTTTTTTTTGGGGGGGGGGGACTTGCAAGCACTGGGGGTGGGCAGGGTTAGTTGTGTTAGGCGGGCTTTTTCTGATGTCAATACTTCTTTTGCTCAGAGTTGGTACTATGTATGTTGTATCACATGGGTGTGCAGCGCACACGTGTGTGCGTGACTGCCCACCCACGTGACCGCGGACGACAGAGGTTTCGTCCGGTTGTCCGATTGCAGGTCAGAGGCAGTAAATGTCTCTCTCGTTTCTCACAGTCAAGGGCTTCACCTCGAGGTGGTGGCCACGGGGACCGTCTCCCAGGGGGCGGCTTTGCAGGAAGGGAGGCTGCTGGCGTGGCGAGGCTTGCGGGTCTCCTGGGTGTCTGAGGTGGCCACTGTCCTGTGGTGCCAGCACCGGACTGGGCAGGCCTCGGGACCTCAGGGAGGCTGGTCCCGGGGGGAGTGGGCATGTGCCTCAGGGCAGACTCAGCCTGCAAGTGTGACCACATTCTCCAGGGGCCGGACACCCACCTGTCGCAGGAGAAGGCGGCAGAAATGGTGCTCAGAGCCAAAGAGCTGTCCAGGCCGTGGCCTGTGGGGCGGGCACAGGCTACAGCTCGACGGGGGCCATTTAGAAATTCACCAGAGGGCAGCCCCCCCACCATCGGGCGCCTGGGCACCTCAGTGAGGGAGGGATTGGGGCTCAGGACCATCGGTGGAAGGGAAGGATAGTCCTTCAGAGGGACTGTCCTGTCAGGCCACCGACAAACCCACCTGTCCCTGAGCCCCAGTGAGACCCGTCCAGGCCACCAGCTGTTCCTGAGAGCCCAGCCTCCGGTGCATTTCAGGCGGGAAGTGACAGGGCCTCCCCTCCCCCAGGGAGAAGCTTGCTGTAAATAAGCTTTAATGTGACAGTAGACAGGGCAGGGCACAGGGGCCGGGGACGCTCCTGCCCCAGCCTCCAGGCACCGGATGGGAGCTCCCCGCCTGGCCCATGTCCTCCTCTCCTACTGTGTGAGGGGCCCTCTGCTCACCCCGCCCCCCGTGCTATCCCTGTCCAACCAGCAGTGGGGATGGGAAACGCGCTTCTGGGCTGAGGGTGTGCCCTGTCAGAGACCCGACCCCCGGCACAGACCTGTGAGGACGGCCGTGTGACCCGCCAGGTGTCCTTGGTGCTGGGGGTCCCACCGGAGGTCCTGGCTCACCCTCTCCTGGGGCGTACGTTTGAGCCTTGTCCAAGAGGGCGTCCCGGGAGGGGGTTCAGGGGTGACACCCTCCCTCCCCGTCACCAGGGCCCAGAGGGATTCCATTCTGTAAAAGTCGACAGGTGTGGACAGAGCTTGTCTTTGTGAGCCCACTGTCCTGGATGAAAGAGGAGGCGGGGGTCCTGCCGTTAGGGGTCCTCACAGGGTGACAGCACTGTCCTGTCCAGGCGAAGGTGCCCCGTGAGGCCAGGCCTGATTTTGGTAGGCTCCCTCGTGCCAGCCAGCTGGCCTGTCCCCTGTCACTTGAGGAGAGGTGAGGAGGAGGAGGAGGGGCTGAGGATGCACGTCCTGGAGGAGGGGTGGGGGCAGGGCTGCCTGGGACTCCCGCCCTCCCCCCACCGGCAACCAGGGCCCTTGCTATCGGGGACGGTGCCCAGCGAGAGAGGACACGGAGCAGCCAGGCTCTCCGGTCCCTGGTCCCTGCCCCGGCCCCAGGACCTCCTGTGCTTAAGACACTGGGTCACCAGCCGGCAGCCCTGCCCGTGGGGCCCCCACGCTCGTCCGGGTGCTCAGCAGCAGGGATGCACTCTCCTCGGGGGGACAGCTGGGGTGACAGTGGCCAGGCTGTGGGGTGGGCAAGGCAACACCCACAGGTGTCAAGCGCCCCGCGTCCCCCGCCCCAGGTTCACGTGACAGCTCTGTGCCGGCTGGGCCCCGTCCACCTGTGAGATACGCTGTACAATTGCTTTTTTGGAAATAGAGGAAATCAATAAATGGCTGGCATTTCTGTGCACTGTTGAAGCAGTGGATTATTCGGGGCGCTGTGGGAGGAGGAAGGGCTGCCGGCTGACCCTGACCCGGGCGCCACCTGTGGGGACACAGCCGGGCTCCTGCTCTGTGTCGGTTCTGGGAGGTGTGCTGGGTCCCCTGTGGACATGTGGGTGACGGCAAAGTTCCGACTCACGGAGCCCAGCCAGCACAGGTGACAGCCAGGACCCCGGGGCAAGGACCCCAGGGCGAGGCTGGCTGGCTCAGTTGGTTAAAATACGGGACCAGGCCCGCAAGGCAAAGAAATGGGTCAGTGATCCCAGTGGGACCCCCTGACCCTAGCCGGTCACCCTGCACCTGCTGCTGGGTCAGGGAACACGGATGTCACCAAAGGGCATGTTGGCCCCCCAGGGAGGCACATGAAAGCTGATGACGCACCAGGGTGGGGGGCCGGGCAGTGGATACACCCCAGCTGAGCAGGGATCCGAGCCCCACACCCTGTCAGCCACTCACGGTGCCGATGGTGAGGGAGGGGGCACCCCCACATGTGCCAGGCCTCCTGGGCGGGGCCCCCACGAGCCCCCAGGGGTCTTCGGTCCTCTCCAGCCCACACCGCTGCACCCCGCAGGCTTCCTGCAGGACAGCTGAGCCGGGGCTCAGGTTCAGGTCTGGACAGGGGTGACCGCCTGTCACAGGTCCACAGTTGATGACCTGTCACGTTTCTGTCGACGATGCCACAAAGCAGGGGTGGCCCTTCGAGTTTCCCGAGATGCCGGGGTGGAAAAGGGGAGTGGGGCAGAGGCGCGGGGTCTTTGCTGGAAAGCCAGGGCCCTGTGTTTGCTTCTGCTGCTGCTCTGCTCATTCGGGAGACACTGAGGCATCAGGGGGAGGGGCTTCTGAGCTGCGTCCCAGCCCCGCCCAGGGCCTCCCCGTCCCGGAGTTGAAAACCAGCTGGGCCGCACACAGCACTTTTTGGCCTGTTTGCGTTTGAGGAACGAGACAGAGGCTAAGGCCATCCCTGCCCGCCCAGTCGCCCAAGCGAGAAACTCGTCTTTGTCGCGTCCTTTCCCAGCCAGGCACACAGCCTGACCGCTCCACAGTGTCACCTCGTCTCCACACCCGCCGTCACTGTCCCAGCCTGGGCCACCGCCGGAGCCTCCCCAGAAACGACACGGGATCATATGCTTCCCCGAAATGTCGGCCTGCTCCCGCGTTGCTGCGGTCAGCACGCTGCGGCCGTGCCCCAGCGCCGGCGGGCCCCACACCCCCTCTCCCTGTCCCCTCCTCTTCCCGCCGCTCGCCGACACCCTGCCTCCACCCACGCTAGACACGTCCCAGCTGCAGCGGGCCCTGCAACCCCACCGTCCCATGCGGTCTCTGCCTCGCCCCACCCGGCACGGCCCCACCTGGCCTCCAGGCCTGTTCGCTGACACCCCCTGCCCATGGGACCGGAGAGCTCACAGCTCTGTGGGGGCCCTGGTCGGGCCGGACTTCTGTGTGACGTGGAGTTCCCACACACCGCACTGTGTCACCAGAGTCGGAGAGTCCCACGTAGGACTGGCCTGAGAGCCTCCCAGGCCTCCGTCCCGCCAACAAGCCTGAAGGCCCATGGTCACCACAGCCTCCCAGGTGGCCGAGCAGCCACTGAAGCAGCCCTGCCCATAGACACGGCTCCATCTGCAGCAGATGGACAGGAATGTTCCCGGGCTTTGCACTGGACAGTCAGCAGCTATTCAAGTATCCGTTGGCTAAAGGAGTCACAATGTCTTTACAATGTGCTTTTGCTCTGGCTGGCGTGGCTCAGTGGATTGAGTGCCAGCCTGCGAACCAAAGGGTCACCGGTTTGATGCCCAGTCAGGGCACAGGCCTGGGTTGCAGGCCAGGTCCCCAGTAGGGGGTGCATGAAGGAGGCAACTGATCAATTGACAGATGTGTCTCTTGCACACTGATGTTTCTCTCCCTTTCTCTCTCCATTCCCGCTCTCTAAAAATAAATAAATAAAATCTTTAAAAAAAAGAAAAAAAGAATGTGCTTTTCCTTGTTTCTATCAGCTACCCAACTTAATTTGGTAGAGTGTGCCATGCCAATAAACAAATAAAACTTAATTAGAACAGGCAAAGCTCGGGGGTCGCCATGGTTTCCTCATGTAAAATGGGGCTATTTATATAGTAACTGCAGTTCCTGCAGGTGGGGAATGGGTGCGAGGTGCTCGCACACTGCTCAGCACACAGTAGGGCTCAGCATGGCAGACAGGAGATCAGAGGGGGCGGGGTCCCTGTGTCGAGTTGAGAGGGAAAAACTCCGTTTGTCCTTTATCCCCAAGCAGCAATGAAGTGACGTCCTGCCTTCATGCATCCTGGTAGGTGTCTCCTTTGGGGAACTGGCAGAGTAGGGGCGGGTGGGGACAAGACAGGGGTGAGGCCCCTTGTGCTCAGCAGGTCACCCTGTCCCCCTGTCAGAACCGCGTCAGCGTTGGCTCAGCCCGAAGGCGCGTGAGAACCGAACAACCTCCCACCGCCCTCCGGGTTCCTTAAGAGCAGCCCCGCCCCTCGGCCTCCTTCAACTCCGCACCACCGGGGCCTGGTTTCCGGGAGCCAGTTTTGGGGTTGGGGCGTGCGGAGGGTGTGGCTGCTGTGGCCCAGGCCTGAGAGCGGGGGCTGCGGGTGGGGGGCTGGGGGAGCCCCTGGGGCCTGGGCGCTCCGTGCCGGGGTGAGGACAGCGTCCCCAGAGTCTGCCGCACACAGCACTTTTCATCCTGGTCGCTGCTGGGGTGGGGCTGAGAACCGGGATGAGCCGGAGGGCGGGGCCAGGGCCGGCGGCACCCAGACCTGGTTTCTGTGAGTCAGGAGCCCAGAGAGAATGGGCCTTTGGTGTGGGCCTCCAGGCCGCCTGAGGGGCGTGGCCTGTGGAAGCCGCCGCACTCAGGAAGGTCCCCCAAAGACTTCTCCGAAAATCAGGGACGGGAGCAGCCCTCGGGGATGGGAGGGGTTGGGCAGGCAGAGAGGTGGGGCGTTCTGGGGGAGGGAAGAGCAGGAACCGGGGCTCGGGCCTGCCCTGCCCTCTGC